TCACAGTGAGCGCGCAAATGAGTTTTGCATTCAAAGTTTTAATCGCATCCGTAATGTGCGCCATTGTTCACCGCGGCCCATTTGGACGCTCTGTAGTATAAGCAAATATGCCTTTATATATCTGTGTTTGTAGAATGCAATTGTTAGGTGTTAGTGATGGAAGATTTCTGTTCATGACATTAGGCAGTGTTTTAATCATGCACGTGTTAGTTCCGGTAAGTTGATTTGTAACCATGATACTGTGATGGTTGAACACAGGGTTTCTTTCAGCTATATCTTGGGGTGGGTGGGAGCCGCAAGTGCCAAGTGCCCCCCCCCCCCCCCCCCCCCCCCACACCNAAAAAAAAAAAAAACAAGAGCCCCCCCCCCCCCCCCCCCCGGGAGAAAATTTCTGAAAGAAACACTGGTTGAACATACATCAGAGTAATGAACACTTATATTGAATTAGATACCAGTGTGTACGTGAGCATAACACCAACCGTTATAGTCGTTATGGTTATCCATACTGCAGTGTCCTGACACTGTGCGAGTGATACAACAGTATCCAACGAGCTAATATATTTAAAACATCTGTAGAGAAAATCTCGCCATGTGCTAAATTCTCAAATATAGAAGTGATGCATGTGTTGGGATAAAATTACCAGCTGCTTTATTAATATAATTAGACATTCTACAATGAGCTTTTGTCTTAAGAAGACACTGTTTGATTGATACAAGTATCACACTAACGTCTGAAATACTAAATAACACTGTAGCAACTGTCCTGCTATGGGTGAATCTTACAAAGACACCATACATGAACGGCAGTTATACAATAGTAATGTCCAAACCTAGGTTAGCCCTCACACCCCACACATGTATGTTAGCTCTCTCACATGTATGTTAGCTCCCTCACATGTATGTTAGTTCTCTCACATGTATGTTAGCTCTCACACATGTATGTTAGCTCTCTCTCATGTATGTTAGTTCTCTCACATGTATGTTAGTTCTCTCACATGTATGTTAGCTCTCACACATGTATGTTAGCTCTCTCTCATGTATGTTAGCTCTCTCACATGTATGTTAGTTCTCTCACATGTATGTTAGTTCTCTCACATGTATGTTAGCTCTCACACATGTATGTTAGCTCTCTCTCATGTATGTTAGTTCTCTCACATGTATGTTAGTTCTCTCTCATGTATGTTAGCTCTCACACATGTATGTTAGTTCTATCACATGTATGTTAGCTCTCTCACATGTATGTTAGCTCTCTCTCATGTATGTTAGTTCTCTCACATGTATGTTAGTTCTCTCACATGTATGTTAGCTCTCACACATGTATGTTAGTTTTCTCACATGTATGTTAGCTCTCTCACATGTATGTTAGCTCTCTCTCATGTATATTAGTTCTCACACATGTATGTTAGTTCTCTCACATGTATGTTAGCTCTCTCATAGGTATGTTAGTTCTCGCACATGCATGTTAGCCCTCACATCTCATACCTGCTTTTTAGCCATCATATCTCACACTAGTTCTGAATGTAAGATGGTTTACGTGCTACAAGTTAAACCCCATAACATGAATTCTTTTGGTAATTTAACATTATCAAAATCATAATTTCAATTGCCATTTGTATAACAGGTACCATATGGTCATCATGCACATGTAGTGTTAGTTAATGAAGTAGGCCTATATTTACATAACAGGTATTTTATGGTCCTCGTGCATCTGTATTGTTACTTAATATGTTTGTTATAACATGCAATGGCAGAGATATTTCACATGTTTATTTGTTAGCCGCGTGTATAGTTCAGTGTTAGTCAGGATATTGTTAAACTGTACTATTTGTATCTTTTCAGATATTGTCCTTTTATCTTTTGAGATCTTTTGTCTTGGAACTTTTTCTTAGGATTTTTCTTCAGATCCTTTTTCTTGGAACTTTTTCTTAGGATTTGTCTTCGGAGCCTTGTTTTCCAAAGTTTTTCTGGGGATTTTATTTTCGGATAATTTTTGTTATTGTTTGTTTTAGGCTTTGTTTGTGCTCAACCACTCCTTCTTACACAAAAACTCTAAGAACCAGTAAAATTAACCAATTCTCAGAACCTGCATTTCTTGAGTCTATAAACCAATATATATATTTTAAACTGTTAGGTCACTCACCACTCGGCTACAGTTTTTGGTGCTGCCAACAGAGTAAAAGTGTGTCAACAATCAACAAGCACACGTCCACTCTTGCCACTTGGTTACATTTTTTTTTTAAATGTACAATCAATATTTAATTTAATCTAATTATATTACTATGATAACGTAAGTTATCACGACGTAATAAAAACATGTAGAGTAGAACGTTGATCACATTTTGTAGGGTATATTTTTTCCAGGATTAAATTCAACTGTCCTTATTTTTTTTTCGTGATGAACTTCAAGAAATGTATGTGAACATCCGGCAAATCGTTTTTAATTTTAATGGCCTTCAAATTGCCATTCTTCTGACAACAACAAAATTAAACCATTGTTAAGACAGGGGATGGGGGAATGTCCTCATGGGTATGGTAACATGATCATTAACGTTGCTGTAGTTTCATTGGATGCAATGGCTTCACTGCTTAATGTGGATGCAGTACCGCAGTGGCGTGCTTGCCAGTTGGGCCACGGTAAGAAAAAGCTGCACTTGGAGAAAAGCCAGGATCTATGCGCCGTCCTTTAAAATCCGACTTATGTATACAAATATATATGCATTGATGAGTGTCACTGTTACGCACTGGCTTCTATTGTGAGAAATTAATCTCTTGTTTTAAGTTATTGCTCGTTCAAACAGTGCACAGCAAAGGACGATACCATAGAGAAATACAATAACAAAAATACGACACCCAAAACAGTTGCCAATTACAATTAATAAAATTTAATTTAGTAATAATACAATTATAAAACAAACGAAATATATTTACAAATCATCAACTTACAGAGTATGTGAAAATCTGGTACCGGTACACAATTAGTACAATGTGCCAATTAATAATGATGAATGATAAATAAAAATGTGAAAAAAACACATAATATGAGTACACAAAGAATAATCCAGGTCTCGTGAAGTTAAAAATATGTATCAAACTCTCTGAATCTCTCTATCAATCTCCGTCTATCTCTGTCTCCGTGTCTGTCAATCCCTTTATATATGCAGCGTAAGCCCTGTCTTCCAGAAACTTCTCAGCGTTTGTTTACGTTTCTAGAACAAATCGCGAATGTTCGACAAGATGCTAGGAGACATACTAACCATGTTTAATTGGTAGTCGGTAGCAAACACGATACATCAATGACTGAGCCCATATATGAACGTAGCGTGTGCTAGGAATCTAATTTGGGGTCAAGCAAAGTTCACGCATCTGTTTAGGTCCGCCTATGACCTGTGATGCAACCCTCCTTGCCCTGCCTCATTTTCTTTCTCGGGTTGATCCTGTAGTATAGGCCAAAACGTGCCAAAGTGTACTCGTTTTATAGCCATTTTTTTATGTTTAAGCTACTGTTTCTATAGCCATTTTAATGTTTAAGCTACTGTTTCTATAGTCATTTTTCACATTGTAGTTACTATTCTAGTGTCTCTGGTTTTTCATTTTTATTTTACTTTAGCAGTTTAAATAGTATACATATTTTTAAGATAATTGTAAAGCGCTTAGAGCTGTAAGGTAAGCGCTCTACAAAAATGCCTAAATAAATAAATATTAATTGTAGAACACCGAGCTTGGGTCCCTTTGTGGGCTAAAGGATTGAGCATGTAGTTCGAAGACAATAATAAAAAGACGAAATAAAACATAAACCAAATACCATTTAATGTTTGCGATTATATATATAGGTTATATATATTATTTAAAAAGCAAGAAATGACAAACTGCTTCTTTAACCATTTGACCCTGATTCTAATACAACTCACTTGATGCACCTGGGTAGCAGTATAGCCTATATACCACATTATCTCACGGTAAGCACCGTACCTTTTTAAAAAAAGCCGTCATTAAGCAAGAAGTTAAAACAAATTAAATAGTTGTATAGATAATTTAATAGTTTAAATACATTTTATAAACAACTTTTCTATTTAGTAACGATTAAAATTATTTTTTTTTAAACATAGCATTTTTCTGTTGTATTTGATCTAGTGTAGATTGATGCAAAAACAAATGCATGTATGCACACAAAAAAAACAACAACAAAAAAACAACATGTTCCCACTTAGGCTTGGGAGCCTTCGGTGCCCTTTTTTTCTCCCCCCCCCCCCCATCCTTTTGTCCTAATTTCTGTAAAAAATTTTTCTGTTGTATTTGATCTAGTGTAGATTGATGCAAAAACAAATGCATGTATGCACACAAAAAAAACAACAACAAAAAAACAACATGTTCCCCCTTAGGCTTGGGAGCCTTCGGTGCCCTTTTTTTCTCCCCCCCCCCCCAACCATTTGTGCAAATGTCAGGAAAACGCAATTTCAAGGTTGAAAAAGCAATATAATAGCCTATACCTTTCTGTAGTATAGCCTTTTGGGGGTGGCATGGGGGTGCATAGTCCATACCGGGTGGCACAATGTCTCGGTAAGCCAATGGTTTTACAGAGGGTTGTAAGTTAGTGTTTGTAACTCCCGGGAAATTTATTTCCCAGTCTTGGGGATTTGTTATCAAATGTTTAGAAAATGTGAATTTAGGCATTTTGGGGGAATAGTTAAATACTGGAGATTTTAGTTTTAATGTTCTTTGTCATTATATCATAATTTAAGCTTAAGAATGACCTCAAAATAAGTGTATATTGTAATAATAAAGTTTAAAATAATTAATTTGGGAATTTTTCAATCGTGGCCAGGATGTTTTGGCAACGCGAGTCTGAGTCAGAGACACTGGTGTGAGTAATAAAACAATTCACGAATTTTCTAGGTAGGCAGGTCTGCTAACAAATTCCTTTGAATCGACGAAGAGCAGCTGATTATTTTAATGAGTTTGCCTGTCGTGAAGAATTAATTTGTTAAAACTAAAGTAATCTAAGAAACTGTTATTTAATACATGAAATTTAAAACTCCAAGTTTTATTCCAATCCGCGTTTTCATTTGTAAAGAAGTACTCTTTCCTGTTACGCCAAGCCAACACAAGTTTTGTTTTTAGAAAAGCAATTAAGGAAGCAAGCTATCAATTTAATTGAACTTAAAGAATGGTCCGATTAAGTGCCCAACTTATCAACATGTCCGCTCAGAAACATAACCCAGTGAGGGACTGGGAGTTAGATTTAAGAGGTTTGTGTTTGTGCAGTTTCCATTTTGATTAGTAATAATTTACACATATACCGAAATGACCACTTTTCGATAACTTAACACTTATGACTTAATAAACTCACACTTTTAAGATTTTTTCCCCTTAATCTTGGTATCAAAAATTCATTTTAAGTTTAATATTGCATAGACTGGGGAAAAAAATTATTTTAAAAATAAAGCAATATTTGTAAAGCAAACTTTAAATTTAAAAATGTAACCAACATCAACTTTGAGTTCTAATGTCTAATTCTGTAAGTGTAAGTGTAAGTAACTCAACTGTGGTAGGCTCTTTGGCACTTAGGTTAAGCAAGGAATACTACTTCAAAATTTGTATGAGAGATGGGTGTCGGCGCAGAAGAGTCCAATTTTTAAATTTTTGGACGCTGAGTCTGAGTAGTTCAACTAGACAAGGCAAGGGTATCAGTCTGAGTGTATTTGACAATCTTAAAATCATCAGGTGCTATACGTCTTTTGCAGAAGACTGAGGATAGGTATTTTGATACTGCGCATGCCCCAAAATGTCGATTAAGCTTGTTCTACAATATGGTGTACAGCTACATTATGGTATTTTTGGAAAATTGAAAATCACATTAAAATTGGTACTTTGACTGAGGAACATTTGGCTTATGACCTATGAACATGAAGATAAAAAAAAATGCATAAATTTATTAACAATAATATAAAGATATAAATTCTGCAACATATAATAGTATCCCTAGTCATCATTGAGTCTAGTTATTAAAAATTTGTTAAAGATGAGTTTAAAAATGTAATAAATTTCTTTTTCCCTGTTTTTATATCTTAACTGATTAACTACCAGATTGAAAAACCTTCTGTGGCCATATTAAATCTAGGTCACATTTTTTTCATTTTAGGTGAATGTACAAATTCAGCTGCAGTTTTCTCAATTATAAACATATTCTAATGATTAATAAACCATTTTGTTGGTAATTGAATTTTCTATAATGTAAACTTTAAACATTTGTAAAGTTAAGTTTTTTTAGGAAATTATTAATTGTTAAATTAGTATTTTCAATAGAAAAACCATAAAAATATACTGATGTGCCAACTTACGTTAATTTAAATCCTTTTATTTTGTTGTTACTAAATAGTATATCCAATAATAACAAAAATGCACCAAAGAACAAAGAAATTGAAAAATATTTATACTTCCAATCACTCATATTCCTTCAGTAGCCATGTCAGTTGTTGCCGCGGTAGTCCTGTACTATTTTGTAACTAGCTAAGAAATAAAATCAAAATTAATTAACATTTCGTTTTTTAAAACGTTCTGCCGATAGTAGGCACTCCAATACTTTCGCCGCCCGTGTTAGAAAAACGAGGCCTGCCGAGCGGCGATCGCTGTGATCAGCCGGCGCTTTTCGTTTTCGGTAGATCTTGGTGATTAGTGTTGTTTTGCGTCATTTCTAAAAATAGAGGACTCTCCTTGGTTTTATTTAAATCTGCGATGCATGCCGGTTACGAGGGTATGAATTAAGTGGAAATCTGACCTTGCTGAGACGAATAATTGGAAAGTTGACGTGGGGTAAGTGAGTTTGCTGTGCTATATTTTTTTTTTCAAATCGCGTTCGGACTTGGAAATTACTTGTTCGCATAGATTATATATTTTAAAAGCAGAAACACTTATTTTAAAGAGTATAGATCGTCCCCAAAATTTATGAGAGCTTGAACCGTGTGACTAAAAATTCAAGGTTGCCAAGTCGTGGCCATTTTTTCCCCCTCGATCTACCGGAAGTGGTAAATCTCTAATGTAAACAGTGGTTATTATTATTTAAAACCTTTTTCAAACAACTAAATAAATATTTCCTGTATTATAACTTAGTAGTTTGATTTTAAATATATACTTTTTAATAACTGGTTTTTAATAATAATTACACTTTAGGCCTATATAGTTATTATATAAGAGCAGGCTTTGGATCAATAAAACTAATACATATACTGAGATAAAACAACAAAGTCAAAGTGATAAAAGTGCTTTGACATACAAATAGCAATGAATTAGATAGTAAGATATCCCCTAGTCCTAGTTATTATCAGCTATAAGTGTACATATAATAAAGAACATTGTGAAGCCTATTTAAAAATATTGAATCATTATTTACATGTACCGGTATTCATAAATTAATAGTCCTAATCTTTATTTTTTATTTTCCAGAGTTACAGATTGTAATCACTCCCTGTAATTTTGATATGTATTTACTTGGAGGAGATCAACAAACAACCCAATTTGATATTGACAATGGAGGCATATTTTTTTAATGTACCAATTGATGAGGATGAAGTGTTGCTAGACCTCCGGAGCCGAAACAATGTCGACAGATTACATGACATTTTAAAATTTTGCATAGCATGATTTTAATTGCTTTTGATATATTTTAATACTCTATTATATTTGGTTGGACACTATCTATTTTTACTGAAAATTTGATTGCATTAGCTTTATTAGTTTAAAAGTTGTATATTTAAATGTAAAAAATTTCTCGGCCGCAGTTGCTTTTCATAAAATATTATTTCTACTACTGCATAAATTTTTCTGATCTGTATTTTATTTATGTTAAATATGCCTTACTTTTAGATGGACATTATCTGTTTGTATTGAAAATTTCATAGTGATAGCTTTATTGGTTTAATAATTATGTCATTTTTTGAAGAAAAAAATTTGTTCGACAATTGTCGTTATCCATGCTATATGCTTATAAAAAATTTTTTCAAAAAATATAATAAGTTAATTCAAAATTCATGTGTTTAATTTTGTTAAACATTGTATTGTAAATGTGTTCTCCAAATTTGAGCAGTATAACTTTAAAAGCCAACAAGATACAACCAAAATAGTACAAAAAGAGTAATAATTAGATCACAGTTTTAAAAATTAAATACAAAGCCAAATAGTGGGAAAAAATAAATCACTAAAAAATTCATAACTTTTCTTCTACAAGTGATAGAAAGATTATCTTGGTGTCAATGGAAAGCTTAAAGTCAGCTCTTTCCAATGATATGCTCTTTGTGTATGTCAGATGTATCTGAAATTTTGAGTTGGAGTACCTACCGATAGCATGCGTTTCGAATATAAACATCCGGTCGATAAATTAAAATCTTGAGGCGAAACGGGAACGGAATAATATAAATATTTGACTCGATTTACTATGATAATAACATTGGCGCTACCAGTGGCTGGTGGCCATACGGAACAAACACCAAGCCACTCCCAGCGGCTCATGGTAGTTAACCAGTTAAACATTAAAAAGATTCATTTTATTCATTTATTATAATTTTTGGGGGGGGGGTAACATTTGCTGACATAATTAGTTAGAGGGGTCCTTAAAAGTTTGACATTTGTCAAATGGGGAGGGAGGTGGTCAAAAACTTCCTAAACATAGACATATTAATATACATTAATGGATAACCCCCAGGCTTGAAAAAAGAAACAGAAATCCCAGTTCATTGATTTCATTTGTCATTTTTTACTGGCAATGGACTGTACCTCCCCATTATGTGACCCCTTTTTGTTTTCATTTTGTGATTGGGGGTGGGGCGTTCTTCTAATTTAGAAAGGTCAAGATTCAGATGACAACGAGTTTTAGTAACCTATTCATTTATTTTAGATTCCTTTTTAAAATTCACTATTTACATCATATATATATTTAGACTAATTATCAGAATACGCTTGGCTTTTGTTCATCCTTTGGACAAATTAATTTATAGTGGTTTCTGAATGGAAGTAAGCCAGTTAATTGTTCAAAGCACAAAAATATTGCTGGTTAAGACCAGTTAATACTACCCTATTCTAAATGATGATATTTTCAACTTGCAAATAAGTATAACCTTGGCCCTACCACCTATTGTTCCTTGTAAAGTCCTGTATTTAATCAAATTTTTAAATAGAATTTATAGCTGAAAAATGTATGTCTAAGTTTGTATATTCTTTATAATATTATACAGGATACAGAATACCAGTTATTGAGAACCTGGGTGCAACTCTTGTAAGTTGTTTTTTTTTAGTTATAGGCTACTGAAAATATCTATGTATTGTTATAATAGATAAGTTATGGCTGCATGTAAATTAAATCACCTTTATAGCCTAGGTTATCATTCTAATGATAGTAAACAGGTAATAAATGTATGTGTGTAAAATCTCATACTGGTATGTAAATGTTTGAAGAGGAAATCTAAAGTGTTCATAAATGAAACACATTTATGGAAAAAAAAATTTTTTTAGGAGGAAGAAATTCATTATTAAGTGTCGATTTCTACTCAAGTTTCAATTATTTTTTTACAGGACCAGTTTGACACCATTGATTTCACAGATAATGATATCCGCAAACTGGATAAGTTTCCACTTCTGAAGCGTTTGAAACACATTTTGTTAAGCAACAATAGAATTGTGTAAGACAATTTATGTTATAAATGTTTTGTCTAATCAACATATTTAATTATATATATATATGGTCATTGATATGCTTTAGCAATCAGATTGTAAGTTTCCTTGTATTAATAGTTATGCTCTTATGTACACAGGCGTATTTCTGAAAATCTTGAAGAAAATCTTCCAAGTTTGGAAACTTTAATTTTGACTAACAACAGTATCAAAGAGCTTATAGATATTGACCCGCTTGGGACTGTCACAACACTTAAAAACCTCAGGTAGGTCAACTGTCTAAATTTTCTTCATTTTGTTTAATGAGAATATATCACTATCTTGAGTCTTGTATCATTATGTGGCCCAGTGGTTCCCAACCTGTGGTATGCATACTCATAGGGGTACACGGCGGACTGCTTAAGGTTATGCTAAAATATATTAATAATGGCGGAAAAGGGAAGTAAAAAGTATTTCGAGAAACTGTATTTCCATATTTAATAATAGTAATAATAAAGCTTATTTGAAAATCACGCTTATCCCCAAAGGCTCGAGGCGTGGTACAAATTCATCCATATTAAAAGAGAAATGAAAAAATCTATATTTTACTACATTGAAATACAAAACGCAACATAACAAAAACTACATACGAGAATACCCATTCTAAGTCTTTCATCCCTTGCAACCATAAACAACACAGGCCACTATACATCTAGGAGATATTAGCAGTATTTACCTATTCAACCCTGTAATGGCTGGTACTGATTCAGCCCTGTATCTTCAAATCCGACCACTCGACAGTCTGTTTACACGTTGCTGTAAAAAAAATGAAATCTTGCCGTTTGTATGAAAATCTCATGAGAAGCGAGACCTGTGGAGATACTGCCATTGTATTTTTAAAAAAATATTTTTTGATTGTCTGAGGAGTATTTTTTATTTGAAATGAAAATTAATTTTTAATTGCTATGATCTTTAGTAGTCAATTACTTAGTCCAAAATTGACTTTTAAGAATTTAGACAACAAAAGCATTTGGAATTAATGTTATACAACACATAAAGCAATCAGTTATGAATGCAAATCAATTTATTTCTTATTGATATATTGTTTAAAAGATTTTTTAAAAAAAATTTGTTCTAACCTATCTTCGGTAAGGGTGGAGCTCTTCTTCTTTGGCTTTAATATGATAAAATTTCTTAGCATCCAGAATTGAATGAGTTAAAGTCCGATATTTAAAATTTATATTGATTTTTGTTCCCTTTTATTTAACCAAATACTACATGGCTATGTTTATTTTTGAGAATCGCTTACCTACCAGTCATTTATTTGAAAAAAAAACTAAAAAAATACTGAAATAACTTGCAAAATGGAAATTAAAAGCATATAAATGCCAATAGCTATATCTGCTTCATTTGATTATTTAGTTAATTTTTCTTTTAATACTTTAGAAATGAGTTGGGGGGATACTCATAAATGAAAAGTCTAAGCAAGGGTGGAGGAGAAAATAATGGTTGTTTACTGCCGATATAGCATAATTATTAAATTTTTAATGCATTATGTACTTGCAGTCTTCTGGGTAATCCTGTAGTGACAAAAAAGAACTACAGATATTATGTGATTTACAAAATTCCAAGCTTGAAAATATTAGATTTCTCACGGATAAAACAGAAGGTATTTTGATTTCTATAAGTAAGCTCATGTACATATCCCAAATTTAATATTAGACAATAATATTTGATTTTGTGAAAGATCCCAATAAGGAAATTATGTCCTGATAGATCCCAAAGCCACATCACATGACTCTCCTATTTAACACTTCCTCTTATCAGCTTAATATCAAATTAAAGGTTAACAGTACAATCTTTTTGTCACCCCCTTGCCCTTTTTTTAAAATTATTATTTTTTTAACAAAATATTTGAGCTGTTTGTTGTATGTAGGTCACTTTAGGAAGCTGTGATGTCTCCTTTGTTGTTTTTAGGTTACCTTAAGGTAGCTGTGTAATTTAGCAGATCTGTAATTTTAAAGTTAATATTGATGGATGTTTGTCAGAGGAAAAGAAATATAAAGATTATAGTGGCTAGACTTCAATATTTATTGTGGGTTTCTGTTAAATAAAGTACTTTCTTAGTCATCTTTAAGTTAGCAAACTGGTTTAATGAACTCTTCTCTCAAAGCTTGACCCTAGGGATGATGGTCTTATGGTAATTTTGATCATCTGTGCCTTTGGGTTTATAACTGTTAATCTAGGCAATAATCATATAATAACATAAACAACAAAATGGTGTTAAGAATTTCTGTAGACCATGAATTTGTTTTGTATTTAAAGGAGAGGGAAACAGCTTTAAAAATGTTCAAGAAAAAGAAGGGCCAACAACAGATGCCAGCACCAGCAGAAAATGGGACAAAAGCAAAAACATTCACACCAGGAGAGAATCTCACACCAGTGAGGCAGATCCCAACTGGACCAACTAAACAAGATGTGGCAGCTATAAGAGTTAGTTTTTTTCCCCTCATTTATTTATTTAATTTTTCATCCTTAACTCATTCCCAACGTTTGCGACTAAAGGCGTCCTTTACGGGTTTCGCCGGATGTGTCCAAATGCATCCCGGCGCATAGCGACACACCTCTCTCATATCTATTTAAAAATAGCAATTAAATCTCGCATCCCTCGAGACTTCCGGTGATGGCTTGGTTCATCGTGATTTTAATTTAAAAACCGGAAGTTTTTATCTTGTTTCACTTTAAAACTACGCATGCTTTATTACGGTGCGTCTAAATGTAGCATGTGTTCGTCCGAGGTGCCGAAAATTGATTTTTTGGCCATTGTTCGTTATTTTTTCCCCGCTAATGTTATATTTATATTAAACCTTACTCATTTTTTGTTGCATTTGTTCTTAATTCGTTAACATTAAATAATATTTAGCAGCTTAAATAAATATTTTACAAATGTAAATCAATTGCAAGACGGAGTTACTTCCCTTTCTCAGGCAAAAAAAATTAAATACGAAAGTAGCATTGCAGGAGGGAATGAGTTAATGACGATTTTGCTAGCAGCCGATTATATCTGCCGTGACACCACAGAAAGGGGTATAGTGGCCTGAAGATTGGTCGTTATGACAGTTATAGGGTTAAACACAAGACATCTAATGTGTTTCTCTAGTGTAGAAATCAACCATCCCTTAGTGACAATGACTTAATTAGTGATTATTTAGCTTTGGCAACCGCTGGGGGAGCACACTGGTAAATTTGTACGGAGTGGGGAAAAAAAAAGAATTTTTATATCTTTTGGCCCTTACTTTAGCTGAGCTGATCTTAAGTATCTGTGATTAAGAGGGTGGGATGTGTCATGAAATTTTTTTAAAAGATTTACAACTGCATATTGTTCAAGTTTCAATTAGAGATTTTTAGTTTGTGTGATATTACTAGCTTTTTTGATTAGTCTATTTAATCCGTGTTTTAAGTCAGAGGATGAATAATTCCAGCACCAGTTTAGTTTAGTTTATAAGTTTAGTAGGGTTCCAACTGTTGCATTGTAGAATAAGTTAATAACTTGCTTGTTTACACTGAAGTGTAAAATTTTTGAAGATACCCGGTAATTGAAAAAATAAATGCTGTCCTGAGTCATGGTGAGTTTTCTTTAATTTGCAGTTTGTGAAGTTTCTTATCTTAAAAGTCTTGTTTATTCTGTAATTACTTTTTGTTTTAGAAAGCCATTGCCAATGCTCAGACTCTAGAAGAAATTGAGAGGTTAAACCAGCTGTTGAAGTCTGGCCAGATTCCAGGTCAAGAGGACTCACAGAAGAGACAAGAAACTGAAAAAGGTTAAGTACAAAATCATTGTGCAGTGAGCTCCTGTAACATATTAATGTCTAGGAGTAAATATATGAATTTATTTAATTTTTCCAAATTTCCTGGTTAAATTGCAGATATTAAAGGTATTAATCTCATGCTAGAGTAATTTATTGAATGTAACTGATTGAAGTATTGTAAAATTTAGTAATAGTTATATCTTAGAAAATACTTTTTTTTCTTCTGTTTCATTTCACTAACATTGATTTTTTTAATGATGTGTTTCAAATTTCTATTTTCTCAAGATATGATACTATGTGTTCTTCAAATTATCCAAATAATTTTTTTTTAAATTAGCTGTCTTTTTGAGCTTAAAATAATCTCAGATCATGGGTTAAATTTTGAATTAAAATAATCTGTTCTAATTATTAATTTTAAATTATCAGCAGATACAAGAAGACAGTTACAGGAGGAAGAAGAAGAGGAGGAGGAGGAAGAAGAATATGGCAATGACAGAGAGGAAAATATGGAGGATGATTGAGAGAGAATAATTTTTTTTTTCACTCTCATTGTACATAATTCAACTTACCATCCATCTTGTTTGTGTGATTTTGACAGTTCTAGGATTCTACAAAAATATAAATCTTTTGAAATGTTAAAAGCAATTGTTAAATTTAAAATGTTTGTTTACTTTTTGCTTCTACATTTGCATTGTGCAGCACCATTTATAATTTATATCTTAGTAATGATTAAAAATAGGTCATAGTTGGGAGACATTTTAAAGGGAAGTAATGCTGTACTCTGGATTTGTTTAAGGCCTGAAGGGAGAGAACACACAATGAAGTTTTTTATATACCAATTTTGTTCTCTGCTTACTTAGACAAAATAAAAAAATTATGTCCTATTTTTCAGCCCATCAAGTCGTACAAAATGGCCATACTGCAATAACCGGGTCCAAGGAAGAAGGAAGGTCTTTCTGTGATTTTAACAAAATACTTTAATATCACTTGATTGTGTCACATATTGTGGCTGAAGGTTCAGATACTACACAAATTTTCTGTGGCCCAAGTTTGGTCTACTCTAATATAGAACAGATGCTACAACATTGTATCATATATTTTGTTGACAGTGCAGATGTTACTGTATAGTATGCTTATCACTTATTTTGCTGACCTGATAGAGCAGATGCTACACAGATACTTGTGATCAGTTAGGGTTGGATAAAATATTCTCTTCAGTGAGAACTAACTTGAAGTAATAAAAGAAATTTCCAAAAATCTAATCATAAATAAACTTAAATGATTTTATTTTGATCATGGTTTGATTTTATCTCTCTAAATTTTGATTCAAGTTTATTAGTAAAGGCTTTGATTTTAGCTGGGATCATAATGATCATTGCAGTAATATTTGAGAGGTAATTCTAGCTTCTCTTTCAGAAATGGTGATTAAATATAAAAGACATTCAATGACGGGGTCTGGTATTTTCCTGAGAGGAGTGGAACAGAATATTTTTATTTTCTCTGTTTACATGCAGGATTCTCAATTGTTACTGTATTATATAATAAAATATGAAAGAATAATTGAGTGTGTTACTGTTACTTCTTTTATATGATTGTGGTGTTATTGTTTTAATAGATTTAATTTACAGGAGTGTACTCATTTTCAGTTAGTTACTTAAGGATTTCTGGAAACACAAATTACTGTACAGAAAGACTTGTGCAGAATTTGTGTATATGTTGCGGCCAAAGCCTGAAATCGGCAAAAGTGGGAACTGGCCAGCCAAATCGGGAAATGACCAATAACGCCTCACAACCGGCCAATATCTGATATTTTTGGGATTTGGCCAGTCAGTCTGCGAAATAGCACGGGGCGATCGGCCAAAGTCTGAAGAAAAGGGTTATGAGCAGATTGTGGGTGTTTGTATACTGTAAGTGTAATGATCATTGTAAAAACAATTCAACAATTTTATTTTTACATTTGCTATGATTCGTGAAGCACTTGATAGTGTAAATGCATCGAGTGATCACTTTTTTTTGCCTTTAGAACTAACTAGCAACTGAGTTTTGACATTTCTGCAGTTTTTCTACGAAATGTTTTGGTGAAACAGAAAAGATTTACACTAGTCAAAGACAATTGAGGACAAGAGCACAGACTAGTGTTTTTGTTGCGCTGTGAGGTCATGGCGGATAGCGATGTACGCAGAGCGACAGATGTGAGAAATATGATTATTGAGAGACATGTCAGAAAGAATATAACCAACGCCAGCCTTTGGTAAACTTTCGCACACCCCAAAAGCCGGTCCTGTAAGTTAGTGTAAGATTATGAATTAGTCTGCAAGTAATTTTCCTTCTGCATCCTTCGTCTGCTTCATTACTTAATCCACAAATTGCGAGGACATCGGTGCCTCGGGATCCATCCATAAGGATGGGCTGAATAACATTCTTTTTCACACACCAATCTGTTCGCATTGTTATTAGTCTAACACCCATCAGCACATCGAATATTGGCCAGGGATTTTCCGGCACTTCGGGAAGTGGCCGGCTAAAGTAGATATACACTGGCAATTTCCAGTACATCGGACATTGGCCACACGCCTCGGCGGTAGTGCGAAATGGCCGGCCAATTCGGGAACTGGCCGAACTTCGGGCTTTGGCCGTAATATATATAAATAGTACTGCTACAATATGAGAGTTTATTAGTTACCGGTAATACTCAATGTCTGGTAAAGTGGCTTTAACTACCTGCAGTGGCTTAGCTAGGATTGGTGTCACCCGGTGCGGTAAACTCATGGTGTCGTCTCCCCCCCCCCCCCGCCTTCCATAATGGATTATCATCTTATTTAAGAACTTCTCCGGCCCTTGTGGTTTAGCTAATCTGTTTTGAAATTGTGATTTTGAAGCGAGCTTTGAATATCTCATTATGGGAAAAGGGTAAATGTATTTAAGAATGTTAGCTAAGCTACGTTAAGTTATAGTTGTTTTTACATTAAATTTACTTCATTAATTTTTTTCTTTTCCTGGCCTGCAAAAATGTCAATCACTTGATCAAAATCAATATTCTTCACTGTATCGTATCATTTTCAATTGGTAATAGAGCCAGATCAGAAACCCTTGACCGTCCTATTGTGGATCATAAATAGTTCTTGATGAGTCTTAGTTTTGAAAAGCTCCGCTCACATGAAGCCACAGATCGCATCAGTTACTGACCGAGCAGTGTGTGCTCTCTAAATACGCAATTTTTTTAATTTGGCGTCACCCCCTGGTATGGTGTCACCCGGTGCAATCTGCACCTCCTAGCTACGCCACTGACTACCTGTATGGTACCGGTATAAGAAGAAAGCTTTATCAATCATCAATGGTTCTTAACAGCTGATTTTCTGCCATGAATCATGAAGTACTCTGTCTTGTACTGAGCATAGAGCTTTTCAAACCAACTCTTATTAAGAAGTTTTATTTTTATACAATTTTACTCTAGTGAGCAGATAGGAGATTTGAGGAAGAAATTGCATTAACAAATTGATTGTAGGGGTGATGTCCTTAATGAGTCTGTGCCTACTGGAAGACATGACTTAATGAACGTAAGAATAAACACTATGATAAAATAATGGTAATTTAAATGATTTTTATTTTTTTTAAAGAAAAAATATCAAAAGCTGTGACCTAATCAAGTGTGCGCTTCAAGCATTGAGACATGCCAGTTTTAAAGCAGACTAGCGCCACCATCAACTTTCACACACTGGCCAGTTACAAAGCTGGCTCTCTCACTGGCCAGGAAGGACACGACCTCGGCCTGCTCCTCGGCTGTGCTGGCACGCCCACGCAAAGGGTGTTTAGCTGCGATGGAATCCAAGTATGCTTTCAGCTGTTGGGGATTGCCCTTGTAATGGCGAGCGATGAGAGTGTTGCTTACAAGCCCCGGGTTGACAGCATTCACTCTAATACCTGTGTATGATATTAAAAAAATATGTTGACTTAAGTCAGAGGTAGGCGAATAGAAGACAGTGGCGTAGCTAGGGTTAGTGCGGACTTAGATTTTTTGCGACAACCCCCCCCCCCCCCCCCAAGAAAAATAACGCTGGATTTGACCGGAGATGCCGCCCCTCCGTATAAAGATGATATAAAAAAAAAGGGGGGGGGGTTGTTGAAATATAATTGTAATACGTTATCTCTAAATGTAAGCATACTACACCAGGCCTGTGGTCAGCTCACCTTTGGGGGCGTACTCCAGAGCAAGACATCGTACCATGTGGTCCATGCCAGCTTTGCTTAACAAATAGGACACGTGACCGGGAGACGCCTTTGTACTTCCCACAGACGAGACGCAGACGATGTTTCCCTGCGACTTTTCCAAATGGGGTATGGCCTCCTTTATTAGAAACACCACAGACTTCAAGTTGGTGTTCATTATTTTGTCATACTCGTCCTCCGTTTCCTCCGCGAAATTGGAAGAGCTCCCGTCCGCGTGGTTCGCTACCAACACGTCCAAGCGACCGAACTTCTTCACGGTACTTTCAACAATGCTGGTCCTGACTTGCCTCTCGTTCACATCTCCACAAACCATGATGATTTTGTCTGACGTCGTCTCTCCTCCGGCTTTAAGGCATTTTTCTAAACTTGCGTTGAGCCTTTCTTCGTCGCGTCCACAAAGAGTCACAGAGGCCCCTCTCTGAGCAAAGAGGAAGGCTATGGCCTCACCAATCCCGGCACTTGAACCGGTTACAATGACTGCTTTACCTTCGAATTCTCGATTCATTTCGCACTACAAAGTTTGGATCACCTCGGTGCCGTAGAGCACATCAAAACATAATTAAATATTACATACCCGGTAGGTACACACCTAGCGAGCTTAACAGTGCAACTTAATTTTGTGTATTGGGTTGATCTATTTTTAGCAACAGCACGCAAAGCGGCTGTGGGGGAGGGGAGTACAAATCTCAAGGTTCAGTGTAGCTTTTCAGTGACCAGGTCTGTTTGGTTGTTGTTGTTTAGTCCTTATTCGAGAATCAAATAATTTTTTTTTTACTTAAATAATTTGTTAAACTAAGATAATTTTTAAAGAGATTTGTTTAAATTTAATTTTAAATTAAACATAATTTTCTAAACTTCGTTTATTTTCAAATTAGCTTTATTAGATATTACACTTCTTTTTAAAAATATTATATTCAAGTATTGTAATTGTATGCTATAATATGTAATACGGCATATCACATACCAGGGCTTAACCGGGTGCAGTGGTTTTACACCTGATCCAGATATGTTGAGAAAATACCCGGTGGGTCCAATTGTTACAAAAAAGTTAAAAAGTTAACTTCTCATTTTCTATAAACAGTAGGCCTACAGACAGTCCTACACCCTACCTGTCAACCTTTAAACAACAGTCCTACAGACAGTCCTACACCTTACCTGCCAGCCTTTAAAAGAATAGCCATATACATATATATATNTATATATATATATATTCCTTTATTCAGGAAACTGTGTCGCCAAAGTATCACATTAAAAGAAGATACAGATGCTTTCTTAATAACAAATGATGAGACGTGCGCTGTGTGTATTCGCCTGATGCTGATAATTCTTAGTTTTTGTTTTAAAACGAAAAAAAAAAAAATCACTTTTTTAAAAAAAGTTTCCATTTTATCTAGTTCCAACGCCGGCCTTTAATGTGTGTGACTTGTGCCCTCGCACAGGGCGCCGTGGTCATAGAGCACCTTGGGCGCCCAGTAAATTTTTAAATTCCTTTAGTTTATAGGGAAGTGTGAACCTCCGGCCCGGGGGTCGAGAAACGGTCTTCTAACTTTTCGTAAAATCCCTTTTCATACAGTGAGTTTTCATACAATGAAAGTTGCATTCTTAATTTGGATACTAACACTGGGGTAGGGACCAACAGAAAGGGCGTGGAAATTAATTTATTAATACCGTATTTGTCCCTCTTCCAATTATTTCATCAGAAAGAATATGAGGAACAAAAAGCTTTCCGGGGCGCAAAATTGCCAGCGCAAAGCAGAAAATGTACTCATGCTCCACAGCCTACATCGTAATCGGAAAGAGAGGGGAGCCATACAGGGAAGGGGGCGCCGAACGGGTGCTTCGCACAGGGCGAAAGTTTACCCAAGGCCGGCGTTGCTAGATCAACATTGATGGCATCGCTTAGTTTTAAAACTATGCTAAGAACTATAACTTTTTAAGCATTTAAAGCATGATCCCATCATACAATTTATAACTAACACGCTATTCTACTTTAAATGCTACGATCTTATTGTCAAATATAATTTGAATGTCCCAAGGACGTTTGCGTCCGTTGTTTGAAAGCTTCGTGTTTTAAAATGAGTTGGCATCTAATAATAATATAATGATGTGACTTATCGAAAGAGAACGATTAGAGAGTTATCGAAAGTTTGATGCCACTGGATCTGGAGTGTACTTTGAACAGGAAGGAAGTCTTTTTAGCAGAAATTTTTCCGCTGAGGACACTATCGTTATTCGTATAAAGTCAAGCCTATGGTCTGCTATTGCGAACTGATGTACAGTGTATATAAACTCTTCAAGCTTGTAAACTTGGTGTTGGAGTTTTACTTGATATTCGTCAACACAAACCACGCTGCATCTGTCACTCAAGCACTTCAGTAACAGCCAGACATATAATGGCTTGACATGATGCGGACCAAAGATATCTGACAGGCTAACGATAAACAATAATAGCCTACTTGACGGCAGTGGTCCCTCCCTCTAAGGTTGGTTGGTGCGTGTCCAAAATCATACAGTTGTGCGCAAAATTTTACAGCCCACAAACACAAACACACACTTACATGGAAATTTGCTGCGCGGATACTCAAAACTGCTGCGCGGCGTCTGTGAGATAGCTGCGCAGCTTTATTAAAGGAACATTGCTTGACAGTCTTCTTTCTTATTTTCATCGAAATATATCATGTTCAATCCTTTTAGCTCAATGAGCTAAAGAGGCCATAGCCCGGGTGCACTACAATCATTATCTAAGACAACGAGTAGGCTGTTATAGAGAGCTTGTTTACATCATATTTCTCGTGCGTGCCCTCTGATTGACCCCGCATGAGACGCTGTGTTCACAAAGGGGTGTGGCTTAGGCCTTTGAAGTATCTTGTTTACAATCGGCTTCCAATTACGCATTGGGTATAATGACTCCGGGTACTTTCTGGAATGTACTCCTTAACCCGAGATATGTAAACAACACGTCATAAGCCCTTCTGGAAGCGTCTTACTCTACATGTATATAAGGATTGGCAGATACAGAAGACGGAGAGATTTCAGATAGATTTTCTTAACATTACGAGGCGTGTTTTATTCTTTGTGTATTTGTGTGCTCCTACTTATATGTGTTTATTTCGCATTATTTATTGGCATCATTATTTCTAATTGTATTAACTGTGTACCGGTACGAGATCTACCATACTGTAAGTTGAAGATTGTAATTTTATTTTATTTTATTTTGTAATTATCTTAAGACATTATAAATCTTAATTAATTGTAACTAGAAACTGTTTTGGGTCGTATCTTTAATATTGTTGATTATATGGTATCGTCCTTTGTTAGGCACTGTTTACAACGAGCCAGTTAAAATTAAAATAGGAGATTAATTTCTCCCAATACAAGTCAGTGCGTAACAAGGCAGTCACGTGTCCTTGTGTAGCCTGTACCCAGTGCCTTGTACTACAATCATTATCTAAGACAACGAGTAGACAGTCACGTGTCCTTGTGTAGACTGTACCCAGTGTCTCGTACTACAATCACTATCTAAGACAACGAGTAGACAGTCACGTGTCCTTGTGTAGACTGTACCCAGTGTCTCAAGCACCGTAATCCTGCCATGCATCAATCCAAGGAAAAATTAGAATGCAAACACGTGATAATCTTCAAAATCAAAATCGCATAACTTGGCATAAGACCAAAACGAAAATATGTCTGTTGTGTAACAAATCGTTACAAATCACGAGGGGGCCCTTGGAAGGGCGGCATAAAATCAAATCATTGAAATTATAATTTAAAAATTATAAAGATTTATTGAACTTAGTTTACTTAAAAAGGGGTCGCGACCAATGTTCCCTCTAAGGTTTGCTGATTAGTGTGCAAAATCATACAGTTGTGTGCAAAATTTTACAGCCCAAAAACACAAACTTACATGGAAATTTGCTGCGCGGATACTCAAAACTGCTGTGCGGCGTCTGTGAGATAGCTGCGCGGTTGCGCAGCCGCGCAGCTTAAAGGGAACATTGGTCGCGACCCACAGGTTGAGAACCGCTGTTTTAAGTCATCCCGCGTCATCAAAATAAAATTTCTCTCCAATTCGCCCATTGATGACTAGTCCCTTCTTGACGGCGTGTTATTTTTTCTATTTCGCTCTTCTTTTCGACATAATGTTTAAATCTAACTGGGTTCAGTGGCGTAGCGAGGGTGTTCGGCGCCCGGGGACAAGATTCGCGCTCAGGGACAAGATCCATTTTTAGCGCCCCTTTTTCTTTTTTTAAACTCTAAAACCATTTATTTTCATCAATAAAATAATATCAAAGCACATTTTGGCGCCCCTAACTAGCTGGCGCCCGGGGACATCTGTCCCCCCCTGCCCCCACCACGCTACGCCTCTGACTGGGTTACAGTAAAAGACTAAATCAGTGGCGTATCTGGGGGGGGGTGTTGGGGAGGGCGGACCCCACCGGGTGACACCATCTCAGGGGGTGACACCATCTCAGGGGGTGACACTAAATTGAAAAAAAACAATCCTATTTACAGAGCATCCACTGCTCGTTCTGACCGAATTTCATGAAAGGATAACCGATCACATGTACATTTTCAACAGATGTAGGCTAACCATTCCAAATGCGTGCTTTATTAAAAGTTCAACAGAACAATTTCTGAGAAATAAATCTTTCCATTTATTCCATGGATAACAAATGCGATGTGCACAGTGCTCAGGCGATTCCACGTACATGACTCGAATCGGTAAAAATTAAAAACATTAAAAAATGACGTTTACTCAAAGGGTTACCAAAATAATATTTTTAATAAAAAAATAGAATATCTTTAAATAATTAAATTTAAATTTATTTAAATTTGAAAAAAGTAATTTTAATGTAAAAATAACCATAACTTAACGTTTTTACAGTTTTTAAATAGACTACATTTACCCCCTGACCTTAAATTTATTTGTTTTTGTCATTGTTATACTGTGGACTTATTTTAACAAGAAGAAATCCGTCGGAGGTGGGGGGGGGGGGTGACACCCTGAGTTTACCGCACCGGGTGACACCAACCCTAGCTACGCCACTAGACTAAATACAGTGTATATGAAATTGGTCAATTAGAGTTCCAATGTCTCATAATAATATGGCAATTAAATGATAGTAAAATAAAATAATATCTTGCGTCTTTTGTGCCGAAAATGCCGCCTACCCGATTTTTACATTTTTTAAATAGACTACATTTCCCCCCTGACCTTAAATTTATTTGTTTTTGTCATTGTTATACTGTGGACTTATTTTAACAAGAAGAAATCCGTCGGAGGTGGGGGGGGGGGTGACACCCTGAGTTTACCGCACCGGGTGACACCAACCCTAGCTACGCCACTAGACTAAATACAGTGTATATGAAATTGGCCAATTAGAGTTCCAATGTCTCATAATAATATGGCAATTAAATGATAGTAAAATAAAATAATATCTTGCGTCTTTTGTGCCGAAAATGCCGCCTACCCGTATATAGAGAAAAAAAGTGTTGCTAAACAGGGTTGGACCGCCACCCCCTCCCTCTTTTACACCTCTTCCTACACCACCGAATGCAATGTTTCGTCATAAAGTTGCTTTGTTTTATAATAAATGAATTTGCTAGATATCTTAAAAGTATTTTTTAGTCCAGTGTTAACTTTAGACCGCCATATTGTTCCGTGCGAGTGACGTAATTAGTTACATTTTATTTCGTTGAGCTGAACCAAATATCTCTTTAAAGATAGGAATGCGGCATACCTAATATTATACCGTTGCCATTGCTGTACTTCAATGCTCGCTGCAGCCAGTGGCTGTTGTGATAAGGGGAGTTTTAAAATGTATACCGTGACTTCGTTAAATTTCATTGAACTTGTACGTCATAACTGTCTATAAATTTATAAATAAATTGAATTAGGTGGAGGGTGTGAGAAGTTCATATTTACATACAACATTAACTTTAACAATGAACAATGAATGGTACGCTTGGTGGGGAAAACTTAAACATAACTCTCCAACTTCATTCAAAACAAGTTAGTGTTGTTGTTTGTTTGTTGTTGTTGTTTTGCTTTGGGGGGGGGGTCGATTAAAATGAATAAATGAAGAATATGTTTGCGCACGATTTAGTGTGTTTCAATTCACTGAAGGCCTACATATTGGTATAATTATACGGATTCTTATATTAACAATTGATAAATTATAAATTATAGCATTCTGGCGTAACTAAACTTTCTTGAAATGGAGATTTGAAAAGAATGAAAAATATATTCTTTACTGCTATTAACTACAGACGGTAAAAAATTATATTGATGTTAAAAATAACATGGATTTGAAAGGAGATAGCATTAAAGAACTCGGAGTTAATATCCACAATGACTTTACAGACAGTAAGCCGAAAATTAAAGCAAAACGCTTTAATCGCAAGCTTAAACTTTTTAGGTAAGGCTCAAATCGTGAATTCGTTATTTATCACTCAAAATGGCCACAAAATAAAATGATTAAAATCAGCAGTCCACACAACACACACTTCACACTTCACACAGTGTCACTGTCACATGTTGAAGTTGTTGAAGGCTTAAATCTCTTGACACATGGCCATGCCTGGAAAAAATGGTGATTAAATACTACTACAGATAATTAATTATACTGATTGACTCTATGAAGGCAGAGAACCATGACAGTGGATCGATCTGAATGGAAGGATGTAATAATGTAATGTAATATAGAATGTAGTGGAGCAGGCCAGAGCCCTCTATGGGCTGTAGCAGCACAGATGATGACATTGATAATGATTGACTCCTACAGATAATTGATACTGAAGTGGCTAAATCCGAGGACGGCTGCCACAGCGTCTTTTGTGTATTTATTATAGTTGCACTGAATTAGGGTTTAGGTTAGGTAAAGGGATCGATTTAGGGTTCAGGTTAGGCATAGGGATCGATTTAGGGATACATTCGTGAAAATCGATAAAAATTGTGGCAGGCGTCCCCATTGTTTACCTTAATTTTGACCATGTCATGAAATTTATGTATGGGCTGAAATAATTTTATTAAATTTTAGTGTTTTGTTGTTATTTTCATTTCTCTCTGTAAATGGCTAAACCAGCACATTCTCTTCCTTTCCCCTCCTCATTTTACCAGACATGCGTTTAATACACGGCCACCAGCTTGATTGCCATACCTATCACGGCAGCCATGATGGCGGTCTTTAGAAACATCATGGTGCAGATTGTGTAAATTTACAGATTTTAGTTTGGAATAGAGGGGACTAAATTTAGGTTTGAATATTCTACTTGCGTTAGGAGAGATTTAAATTAGGTTTGAAGATTACACTTGAGTTAGGGACATTAGGGGGACCAAAATATGGGTTTGAAGATTACAGAGATACTGACTTTTGTACTTGGGAATTTTAGCATTCAGGTTAGTCAGAGTGATAATATTTCCCTCATTTTTCTTTATGTCGATAATTCTCCAAAAGGCACTCCCTCCTTTTCTCCTCCCCATTTTTGCCCTGTCTTTTGTTAAACATTTTTGCCATGAAAAAAAAGTGGTGCAAAAACATATGAAAAGAGGGGACCCATCATCCATCCATCCCTGTGGCGCTACAGCCCATGTAGGGCTTTGGCCTGCCTCACCACTTCCTTCCACTCGGACCTAACTAATGCCTTTCTTTTCCATGCTTGGACTTTCAGCTGCTGTAGATCTTTTTCTACATCATCTATCCACCTAAGCCTAGGTCTCTGCCTTTGAGCCTTTTTCCTCTGGGGAATTGGTGATGTACCCTCTTCGTTCCTCTGTCATTTGGCATTCTCTCTAGGTGTCTAGGTGTCCTGCCCAGCGTAGCCTGCCTATTTTTATTTCTGCCACTATCGTGGGATCCTGATATAGACTGTATAATTCCTGGTTGGTTCGTATTCTCCATCCATATTCATCCTTTGTTGGCCCATATATTTTCCTGAGAACTTTCCTTTCCCATGTGTTTAACAGGCTTTCTGCTGTTTTTGTTAGGGTCCAAGTTTCACTTGCATATGTTACAACTGGTCTGATCACAGTTTTATAAATAGTTTTCTTTGTTTCTCTTGTAATGTTTTTACTTTTGAGTATTTTCTAACTACTGAAGTATGCCCTGTTTCCGGCTGATATTCTTTCTTTTGTTTCTGTTAGTAATTCGTTTCTTTCATTTAACAAGGATCCTAGGTACGGTATTTGAATTGATTTACTTTTTCAAAAGTTTGGTTTCTAATTATAATTGTTTAATCTGTTTGTTCCTCTCTTATCATGGTCATGTATTTTGTTTTTTGGTTGTTAACTTCCAGCCCTGCTTGTAGAGATGAGTCTTCTAATTCAATATGTCTTTTATACTTTTCCCTAGTATTTCTTCAGTGTAAGGTTTTAGTCTTTTGGCAATAAGCTTCGTCAGTATTTTGTATGTAACATTTAATAGGGAGATTCCTCTGTAGTTTGTGCACTGAAGTTTTAAAGCCTTTCTTGTGTATTGGGGTTATTAATGCTGTTTCGCATTCTGTTGGGATTTTCTCCTCTTGCCAAATTTTAGTTATAAGTTTATGTATCTGATTGTGTAGTTCTTTTCCTCCATATTTAATCAGTTCTGCTATGATAAGGTCTTGTCCGGGGGCTTTGTGATTTTTCATATAATTAATTACCTCTTTGGTTTCTTCTAGGGTTGGGCATTGTATAAACGGGTCTGGTCCTCCCTGAGGGAGTTGATAATCTTCTTCTTGTCTATTGTCTGCATTCAGTATGTCCTCAAAATATTCAGCCCACCTCTCCAATACTTTTCTATTTTCCGTGATTAATTCTCCATTGTGGCTCTCACACATTTGCGGTCTGGCTTGTCATCCATTCTTTTCATCTTTTATCTTCATGTACATTCCTCTTATATTTCCCTCTCTTGATAAATCTTCTATTTCCTTTAGTTTATCCTTTTCCCATTCCCTCTTTTTCTTCCTACACATTTTTTTTTGCTTTCCTTCTGGCTTCCTTGTATGTTTGTGTTGTCTTTCTGGTTTCCCTTTGTAACATGATCATTCGTGCTTTGTTTCTTTCTTCCAGTCTCTCTGCATTCATTTTCATACCAGCCTACTCTATTGTTGGCTTGCTGAAATCCCACTACTTTTTCTGCTGATCTTTTAATGGCATCTGTATCCTATCCCACTGATCATTTATGTTGTTTTCCCCGTTTATTTCCTCGTGCGATGCTTATAATTGTGCTTCTACTTCATTCTGGTAAGCTTTTGCAGTTAATGGGTCTTTGGGCATCTTTTGCTAATCGTATCGTTTCTTTCTTTGATTATGACCATTGTGAACTAAGCTTATCCTCTGCCTATATTTCACCCTTACAAGTAGATGGTCCGAGTCTGCATCTGCTCCTCTGAGGCTTCTCACATCTAATATATCTGATCCATGTCTTTGATCTATTAAAACATGATCGATTTGATTGCGGGTGATTCTATCTGGTGAGTTCCACGTAGCTTTATTTATATTTTTGTGCAGAAACTTGGTGCTGCTAACTGGCATCCCTTTTCCTACCGCGAAGTCTATGAGTCGGATCCCATTGTCATTGGATTCTTCGTGCAGACTTTCCTTGCCAATAGCTGGCATGAACACCTTTTCTCTTCCTATTTAGGCATTGAAGTCTCCAATCACTATTTTAATATCATGTCGTGTTGCCTCTTCGTAGATCTTTTCCAGTGTCTCATAAAAGGATTCTTTATCCTGATCTTCCGTGTCTTCCGTTGGAGCATGTACATTTATTAATGTTATATTGAACATTTTTCCTCTCATACGCAAAGAACACAATCTTTCGTTTTCTGGTTTGAAGCCTATGACTGCACTGAGTGCTTCTTTTTTCACGGCAAATCCTGTTCCTAGTGTGTTGGTGTTGCTACCATAATAAAATATGGTGTATTCTTTTGTCTTGAGGATGTCTGAATTTTTCCATCGAATTTCTTGCAATGCAGCAATAGATATTTTATATAAAGCCAGCTGATTTACAACGTTGGCTAAGGCTCCTGCTCTAAACAGGCTTAGTACATTCCAAGTCGCAATCCAAAAGTCATGTCCATATCCATGCATAGGTCGATTTCCATTGGTATCAGTCCGGGTTTTGTTCTGTTGCTTGGCTTTCGTAACGTTGATTTTTAACGTTGCCGGGTTGTTAACCCTGCGCACAACCGTCTGGGGGGTTGCCCCTTACAGCTCTCTGGATAGCTGCCTTAGTTTTTGGGTAAGGTTCCCTAGCCTTTGTGGATCCCTCCACTTCCTACAAGGCAGTAGGTTCTGATTTTGGTCGGCCCAAGGTATTTAATTTCCCTGGTACCCTCCATATCTGGTGGGCTTTCCCCTATCCGCCACCTGGGAAGGCACTCGATGGAAGATCAGTATCTCTGCACGAGAAAAGAGGGGACCCGGATAGCATAAATTTATCTAGCTTTTTTGGTGTTGATGAAGTTTGAAGTACAGCCAGTGCTCGACTTTCGACCACGATCGGTTGCGAAAGACCGGTCATAACATGATTTGGTCATAAGTTGAGTACGCTATGTGTACAGTAATGTGAAGTGATGTTATACTACTTATACATCAGAAATTGATGACGCCGGCTAGCAGCATAGTATCTTCATAGCATCATGCCTCCCTTTCCTTAGTTAACAACTGTGGATCATTGCAGACAATGCTGTTCCACTGATAATTGAGGCAGAAATAAATCTGAAATCTAATATGACTAGTGATTGTGGTCGTAAAGTCGAATGGTCGTAAGTTGCATATAGATCATAAGTCGAGCACCCTTTCTTTACAAAGTACATGTCATTTTTGATTGATTATTACTTATGAAGAGGTGTAAGTGTAACACATGCTTTGTGTTTTTTAATTATTTTTTGTATCTCCTTTCAGTTCAATCTTTAAAATTCTTTTCAATTATTATTTCCTTTCATCAGTTTCATAATAAAAAACAGTCTCTCAAATTTTCCCACCGCAATGTATCTAAGATTATGCTTAAAACACATCAGACTTTCCTTATCATCAGCCTTAGTAAAAATAGCTACTAATAAAAAGTAATATCAATATAAACAAATTATAACATGCTTATTTTAACAATCTGATTTATGCCCTTGTAAAGAAAAAATATCAAATCTGCCCCCCAAAAATGAACTTCAATTTTGTTTGGCTCATCACTTGTTTCGATGATGCAGTGGTAGCAAGTCAGAATCAGAAGTGCTTTAAACATGATTTTTTTACACTAGCAAACCAACACCTGAAACTTACTTTTTAAACTTTGTTATCCTCAATATCAGATTTTAAAAAAAACTCTGTTCAATATATTCAAAGAACCATTGTCGTTATCTTTTTTGCCATAGATTTATTGTTTATTTTGTAGAGAATTTACCTTGGCAACTTTGTCTGCTCTCACGGAAATCAAGCAAACACAGTTGAGATGTGATACCGGTACAGATAATGTTATTTCTCAAGTTTCTGCTCTGGATGCTCTAGCATGTACTGGTGAGGTGCTACTTCATTAGTTATTTTAACTACTGGTGTATACACTTTTTTTGTTTGGGTCTTTTTTTGCCTATGGGGCTATCTATAAAGGGTGTTGTGCTAGTCTGGTCAATATTTTAGGCCCCCCTCCTCGATCATCACAAAATTTGAATACAAAGTAGACACATTGTCATAAATTTACGCCCCCACCCCCCCTCTTAGATGCTTGACATTGTTAACAGATTAATTAGAAAAATTAACTCTTTCCCTCATCAAAAATGTTCTTTTACCCTACTTGTTTACTAAATTATTGAAGTTAGTTATATCTGTGAATTTTATTGTTACAAAAGCTATGTAAGTCATTCACATTTTCTTACTACCGGTACCAGTACATGCATTTATTTTTTTGAAAGCAGACTTTAATTTAATTGAATTCATTAACTAAACTTGCTTGTATTATTTCAGGTGTGGCTGGAATCCAGTGGAAGAAACATCTATCCAGCAGGGTGCATGTGACGCTTGCAGACCGTGATGATGTCACCAAATTGACCAGCAATTCTGAGGCTAATGACTTCAGTTGTTCTGAATTTCACTTAAACCCTCTACGGGTTCCTGGGGACCTCCACGAGTCACAATCAGAGAAAGAGGTCCATGTTTGTAATGCCGAGGCTAAAGCAGTTATGGTTATGGAAGCTTTTAACTTCATGTAGGTAACGGTAAAATATAGCCAAAGCAGCTTAACTTTAATATGCTTTTTCTTTTTTTTTATGTCTAAAAATGTATGTGCATCATCATAATTACATAGATCTAAGTCTATATGTAGATTTTGCCATATCCCAAATCAGGTTATTGTTTCATTTGTACCAGCACCATATTCTGTAATATAGCTTTAAGCAAAGATTTACAGGTGCAAATTATTTAATTAAAAATCATTTATATTTATTCTATTTGGTACAAAATTTATGTAGTGACACTTCTTTCTATGAGATTGACAATTTTGATAACAACATATTTAATAATTTATCAACAAATTTTAGAAAGGCCTTCTAACTTAATAACAATACATACACTTTTTAATAAAATCATTATGCACACATCTATTAATAACATCATTATAAATTCAGCTTTTAACATCAATAGTACACATACACCTTTGTACTGAAATCTTTTTTTCTTCTTTTTTTTAAACAGCTATTTAAATCCACAGAAGAATGCCACAACTTATTTTGAGCCGGCATTCAACAGTCTGACATGTCGTGGACTACTTTGCTTTGTGTTTCCAGATGTTTCTCTGTTTGCCAGGTCTGCTCATGTTGTCCAGCGTTATTATGGAGTTGATGTTGTTAAGACAGAGTATCTGAAGGAATTGACTGCCAGAATCATCATTGGAAGCTTAGCAAGGTACTGCATCATCAATGATTGTTACAGTGGTTTATCTTTTCATTACTGATACAAGCTCTAGCAATGCTGTGATTTTTACACTGGAATATCCATAAATGTCATCTTTGTAATTATGACCTGAATTTAAAATTAACATAATTTAACTGACATTACTCTTCTTAGCATTATACAAACTTGTACCAGGCAACCATCAATACATCACTCATATAAAAAAAGTTAATATTTTCATATTGATACTGAGTACCCCTGTATATTATTGGACTCCCTCCCTCTAAGCATACTTACAAGTCAGCTTCTTAAATCTCTGTCCAACCACATGTTTGAACATTTTGTTTAGAAAGATAGTAACGGAATCATACAAGCCAATGTAACCAGTCAGCTTCTTAAATCTCTGTCCAACCACATGTTTGAACATTTTGTTTAGAAAGATAGTAACGGAATTATACAAGTACAAGCCAATGTAACCAGTCAGCTTCTTAAACTTAAATCTCTGTCCAACCACATGTTTGAACATTTTGTTTAGAAAGATAGTAACGGAATTATACAAGCCAATGTAACCAGTCAGCTTCTTAAATCTCTGTCCAACCACATGTTTGAACATTTTGTTTAGAAAGATAGTAACGGAATTATACAAGCCAATGTAACCAGTCAGCTTCTTAAATCTCTGTCCAACCACATGTTTGAACATTTTGTTTAGAAAGATAGTAACGGAATTATACAAGCCAATGTAACCAGTCAGCTTCTTAAATCTCTGTCCAACCACATGTTTGAACATTTTGTTTAGAAAGATAGTAACGGAATTATACAAGCCAATGTAACCAGTCAGCTTCTTAAATCTCTGTCCAACCACATGTTTGAACATTTTGTTTAGAAAGATAGTAACGGAATTATACAAGCCAAAGTAACCAGTCAGCTTCTTAAATCTCTGTCCAACCACATGTTTGAACATTTTGTTTAGAAAGATAGTAACGGAATTATACAAGCCAATGTAACCAGTCAGCTTCTTAAATCTCTGTCCAACCACATGTTTGAACATTTTGTTTAGAAAGATAGTAACGGAATTATACAAGCCAATGTAACCAGTCAGCTTCTTAAATCTCTGTCCAACCACATGTTTGAACATTTTGTTTAGAAAGATAGTAACGGAATTATACAAGCCAATGTAACCAGTCAGCTTCTTAAATCTCTGTCCAACCACATGTTTGAACATTTTGTTTAGAAAGATAGTAACGGAATCATACAAGCCAAATGTAACCACCCCAGTAATAAAATAAGTTGTTTATTTTTTTTATTTTTTATTTAATAAAAAAATAAGATATTTTATCTGTATCAACGTTAAGATGCTAAAAAAACGCAATTTATGGACAGCATTTCAAGATCATTTTGCAGAATTATGGCATAAATGTATGTTCACATTCTGCCAAACCTCCTGCGTCCACACAAAATCTCCTTAATCAACTATCCTCCCCCTACCCCTTTGAGCATAGCTAACATAAGGATGGCCTACTGGCATTACAATTTAATATCTTTTTTAGGGCTGCAGCAAGAAGCAACAAAGGCATCATGGTGCAGTATGTTATTTCCTTCGAAGATTATTTACTCATTTGTGTCAAAGTCTGCAGAGGTCATGCAGCTGCTGACACTTCTTTGACAGAGCTGGCAAAATTACAACACTGTCGATTGTGTGAGCAAAGGAATTTTATTCCTCAACAATTAGCTCTTTTGGGTATGTAACGTTTGTACCTTGTGTACTTTTGTTGATGCTATTAGTAATTAGTGCAGCTTAAGTTTAACACTTATTCAAATTTATTTATTAATATTACAAAAATTCTGTTGTTTTGTTCGCTGACGAAGGCTTTCTGCCGACACGTTCGCTGTTTTGTTGCGTTACTTTTTCAGGTTTAACCCTACTTTGTTTTACTCATTTTATTTTGTACTAACCTGATTGCAGTCTCTCCCCTTATTACCCCTAATAACCGTAAAAATATTTGTTAAGAGCCTTAAGTCGTTTATAATTTACAGAACAAATCTTTAAATCAGTCAGGAAGCTATGTTTTTAGTTCTTAAAGTTAAAGGAGGTAATTCATAAACCATTGCTTGGTTCTGTGTAACTTGTAATAATTTTTCAATCTTTCATACAGAGGATCCCTACAGTTTGTTAGCCTGCAAATGTAAGGAGAAAAATCCAGGAAAAACTGCAGTTAGCCTTGGACCAATGTGGTATGGATTAATTAGCATTATTTTTATTCTCTTATTAAATTGTAACTTGCATGTCATATACATTTTTAAAAATAATTTTTAGAATAGAAAGACCATGTGCTTAGAAACTTTGGTTGTATTCAATGATTGAGGTCAATGGCTGGAAAAGTTGATCATGAGAAATCTTTTGAACTGTTTTTTTTTTTTTTGCAGGGCAAAGTTTATATTTATTTTCTTATTGATTTCTTTTAAATATGAACACGACAAAAAAGTACTAGAAATAGGCACCTCTTTAAAATTGATAACTTATTATTTTATTAGGAAAGGTCCAATATATGATTGGGATTTTTTGAACTTACTGCACAAACATGGGAAACAAATCAGTCTGAGCTCCAAGTTTTTTGAAGTGATTCATCTTCTCTTGGGAGAATGCATGTGTGCCCAGATTGATCAACCCACTGGTGCTGCTCCAGAAGACAAAAATGCCAAAGAAACTGGTGAAAAATTAAGAAATGGCACTGAACTGCCAGCAACGACTCAAGCACTGAATGAGCCAGCTCTTCAGGGAGGTGACTCTCCCAGTGCAGACCAAAGGCAATCAAATGATCAAAGTTTAAACTCTGAGCCAAGCCTGGAGAAAGCTACACAACCGGCAATACCGCAATCTGAGAAACCAATGGATATTACAGAGACTGAAGCCAGTGGAAACCCCTCCGAGGAATGCTCCGAGTCTGCACTGAACACGCTGAAAAGAAAATTAGAGCATTTGGAGTCAGAGAAGCCAAATGAGGCTAAAAGACATCACAAGGCTCTCACTGACAACCAACGTGAACCAAAGTCAGCCAATGTTCCATTTTATTACAATGTCAGTAAATTTAAAAGAACTAACATTCCCAAGTAAGTTCACTTACATTCCCCTGTAAAATTAAAGCACACATTTAGTAGAGTGTTATTTAATTTTTCAAGCTGATAAAGAGCTCATTTAAATGATTCAAATCAATTTATCAGCTAACAATGCCAAGATGAAAAATACACTGATGACCCTTCATTTTTTTTCAATGGCAAACATCTGGAGGGAGTTTTAGTTGGAACCTGGCATTTGTTTTTTCCTTAAATTTAATCTCTCACCCTGAAGATTAAATTGGCAAATATTTCTAGCATAATGAATAATTTATATAGGAATTATTCTGCGTAGAGTCCAAGACATTTAACTTTTTCTTGTTAAAAATATCTTTTTTATTTGAATAATTTAAGATGTTTTTTTTTTAAAGTCTTGAAAATGTATACTTTCAGACTGGATAAGTTGGTCACCATTCTTCGATGCGCTGGTTATAAAGCAAGCAGAACACACTTTGACCACAGCGCCATAAGAACAACTGCCAGTGTTGATGAATTTCTGACAATTTTGGGTTGAATAAGCTAAACTTTTTTTTCCAGGACTGCATTAAATTTCAGTTTGTTGCAGATTTTAAAAATTCAATAAAAATTAATTGAAAACTAAATGGCTTCTGTCAGAGTTTTGTCAATGTAGCATTTGCAAAATTGTTCCCTAAAGTGAATAAGTTTTATGGCCAAATGTAGTAATTCAAAAATATTAAAAGGTAAATTATAATGGCAGGCTAGTGCTATACTTATCACGAATGTCATAATTAGGGTGAACAAAATAACAAAACTGATAATACTAATAGTTGAAAGATGTTTATACTGTGTACAACGCATGAATAATAACAATAATTAGACAAAATTGATTTTTTTCTCATAAATTAATTCCTTTTTATTTTTATGGAGATGATATAAATCTCTATTATACATCACAAGTGAAATAGCAAACCTTTCAACTAGTAAGTTTTAGAACAGGCCAGCAACCCACAGTTATGTAAAAAAAAAATTCCCAATATCGGTAAAGAATAGTTCTCAGACAATTCTAGTTTGTCATCCTCAAGACAGACTCTAGATTAGGACACATTGGGCAACAAACAAAAGCAAGTTGACTTGTCAAGTGACTTTCAGGTGTTGTGTGTGTGTGTGTGTGGGGGGGCAGGTTTGGCACCTAGAATGTAAATTTGCCAGGCAGGGACAATGGGTAAGGTGACCAAGGAAATCCACAAATACTATTCTGGGGATAAGTGAATCATGATGGTGGGAGCTGGTTATACATAAAATAAGATTAGTTGAAGTTGAGAATCTCTGTAAAAAAATTCCTTGGTCAAGAGAAAGAGTGAAAGACGATGTAACATGAATAATTTTAACTTGTAGATGGCATATGCGTCTTTAGGAGCAAAAGAAGAAGGGTAATGCTATTATTAACAATACATTTATTATATATACTCGTTCAAAAGCCGACTTATTTAGGAAATATTACAGGGAAATAAGTAGGGTGGGGGTCTTATGAGTGGTTCATAGGAGATTTTTTAATAATTTTTCTCCAGGCAAATTTCATAATGTCATAGTTATTGAAATTCGCAGATGTCCTGGTCTACTGTACACTCAACAAGATTTAAAAGTTACCAAAATCATAAAAACAAAGTTACAACAGGAACGATATAGTCAGTCAATTTAGCACCAGCAGTCTCTTCCTAGATATTTGTTGGTACTGTAATCCTTACACTTACACTGGAATTTTATTTTTTGGGGTTTACTTATGAGTGGGTTATACACACTTTTCAGGCTTTTTGCATCCAATACTAATGGGGTGGCTTATTAATGAACAGGCTTTAGTATATCAAAAATGCTTAATAGAAATTAAAGAATACTTGCAAAACCCATATTCCTTGAGAATTCAACAAAAAAAGCAGTACAGGTATGAACTTTTTACAACCTAAAATGTGTCAAAGATGATCTCAGTTATGCTTTGAGTCTATACTAGAAGGATTTCTGCAGTTCAATTGTATATTGTTTAGTGGTATGATACACTGTACTCCAATACCATACCTCATCAGTTGACCAAATGATATAATGCTCTCCAATACCATACCTCATCAGTTGACCAAATGATATAATGCTCTCCAATACCATACCTCATCAGTTGACCAAATGATCCACTTCACTCCAATATCATACCTCATTAGTTGACCAAAGGCCAATTAGCTTTAAGATTTATTTTGTCTACCTGGTAACAATGAACTTCATGTAAGATGTACTGGTAAACAAAGGTTTCGATTAAGATGATTTTTTGAGCACATGCATTTTACTTTTTATTTTTGTGTGAATAACCAGGGAGAAAAGGTAGAAAAATTGTGTACAGAAAATTCAAATTGAAAAATAAGGTACATAATATGGAGCAATCATATCAGTTGTCAAGTATATGCAAATGCAATTATTAATGAGAAAAAAATATGTAATATCAAAGTAAGCCCTTTAAAACTATTGATTTTCTGAATATAGGGTCAGTGTTACCTTAAATGTTTGCAGAGGCAAGGATAAGATGAATCAAGCAGTTTAAGGCTATGGAAGATGTTCAGCTTTTCTTGGGTAAAAATAAGCAAATGATGATTCATTAACAATATAGAAACATGACTGTAAGTGTAATATGAAGCACTAAAATCTGTGAATATTTTCATCTGGTACTCCCAGATCTTTTATATATGTGATCATATCAGCATTAAACGTCTTGCTACCACATACCAGGACCAACAGTTTGCTCAAGTCATTTCTTATTTCTTTGCCTAACAATTCTTTATTTATATGTCCTCTGAGTATCTCTTCTCTATATCTGTAACTTTGATTCTCCTCCTCGATTTCCTGTTGGATAAAATTAATCTAATTATAATGTACAATTTTTTCTTAATATAGACTACTAACGAAATCATGATAGCAAATTGTGCACATGTTGTCAATCTGTTTTGAATCGCTCACCCATTTTATAGAAGCAAAGCAACTATGACAGCAATATTTTTTAAAAAAAGGCTTTTTAATAAGGTAAAAGAAAACACATAGCAAACCATTTTTTCAGCATGTAACTTAATATAATTTTAACTTGCGACATATCTAATATTTAATGGAAATTGTAACTCATTGACAAGTTTAAAAATTGGCTAACCTCATGTCTCACTCAACATTTATCTATTCTTGTTTTGGTTTTCAAATGAAGAAGCGTTGACAATCCACTCTCACGGGTGTTTAGACGCAAGTCAAGTTTTATGATACATTCAATTTTTAAGTCCCAGATAAAATTTTTTAATTGAAATTGGTTTAAAATTGTTTTGTCAACCACGTCAGCTGGAGACCCCAATGCTAAACCATGTCATCCATAGGTTGGGAACCAATCTTTAAGTGTAAAGTAAGTAAAGCTTATCTGGCTAAGCACTGAAATTACATTTCAAATGACCTTACCTGGCTAAGCACAAATATGACAGAAAAGTTCCAGTATCGTGTCCATTCATCAATCTCCTTCTTGGCCATTAGATCTTTGTATGACCTACAGGCATACACAAGCCTTAAGAAAGTTTCATCTTTCTCATCATCAAGAACAGTGTTGATGACTTGACACATGGGAGCCACACCAGTTCCAGCACTCAGCATGAGAACTCGATGATACTGAGGACATTTATTTTCTTAGAATCAAAACATCATTTTTTAAACTTCAAATGGAAAACTTTGTGTTTTATTTTTAAGAGTGACAAATTAAATATTTTGTTACATGTGAAAATGCAATTTAGGTAGTTAATTAATAGTTTAAGTAATAACTGCAGTAATTGTAATGCTTAAACTGTTCCTGACAGATTGCTAAAGCCAGCAACAACAAAAACTATGACAATTGTACGATTACAATGGACCTAGGAATTAACTTATTACACACATTTTCAAAATGAACTGCTGGACCCACTGTGATTATGTCTGGCGCTATTTTTAAGTTGTAAAAGTTGATGCAGCCACCAACCTTATTGCCTGCTGGGCCCACTGTGATTATGTCTGGCGCTATTTTTAAGTTGTAAAAGTTGATGCAGCCACCAACCTTATTGCGTGTACATTCAAGATGAACTGCTGGGCCCACTGTGATTATGTCTGGCGCTATTTTTAAGTTGTAAAAGTTGATGCAGCCACCAACCTTATTGCGTGTATATTCAAAATGACCTGCTGGGCCCCTGGCAGAAATCTTGTCTCCAACTTTCCAGGTTTGAACAAACTGGGACATACAACCTTCAGGATATATCTACAACAAATTAGATTTATGATGAATGAAAAATGATGCACGATAATGTGGCTTCAAAATTAATATTTCCATTAAACATCGACAAATCTTATCTGATCAATACAGTTTCTTTTCGGAGTGCTTATTTTGAAAGCTTGTTATCAATTAATGTTTACGATTTTGTTATTAATTAGTGTTTATAGTTTAAGCTGTTAAGAGCCAATGTTTCTAAAAATACATTCAAAAAAAAAAAGATACTCTTGAAACAATTTATAAGTTTACTTTGCCTACTTAAATAAATGTTGTGCATTTAATATTGAATTACCTTGATTAACAAGTCAAAATAACCTTTAGCACTTAGTGGTGAAATTGGTGTATACCTTCGAACTATCATGGAGCCATTTCTTGCTTTTGACCTGAAAATAGAAAAGTGAAATTATATTGTAGATCTGTGGTTCTCAAACTTCCTAATGCTGCGACCCTTTAACACATTTCCTCATGTTGTGGTGACCTAATTGGTTTCGTTGCTACTTCATAAATATGTGTTTTGCAATGGCTTTAGGCTAACCCTGTGAAAGGGTCGTGACCCACAGGTGGAGAAATGCTGTTGTAGATAAATATAAATATAATTACATTTATTTTGCAATAAATTTTATTTGGATAATTTTTTTATAGTTCGACGATGTTATTATGATAAAAAATTCAGCAAGAATTATTTATTTACTATGGTACTGACCACAATGACTTGTTCATCAATTTGAAACTTTTTTTATTGTTCACTACCCAAAGCAATTATCCTAGCCTAAATTTACTGTTATATATATGCTTGCTATTATTTAATTTTCCCTTTTAAAATTGTCAATTTTAAATTTTCAAAACACTGATATTATATATTAAAATCCTTCTCATCTAATCTTTGCGTTTACAATAATGCTATGCAATTGCTAAAAATTGTCTTGGGTCATTGCATGCATACAAAAAAAAAGAAGCCGTCAATCCCAATACTGATATGCTTTAATGTAACATTTGACAAATACAAAATACAGTCTACAAAATGGGTTAACCTTGCTATGATGTGTTGACCCATCAATAAACCTAGACTTGTGTTGTTAGGAACAGAGCATCTAAAGCGTAGAATGTCTGGGGTCTCTTGAAGCACAGAGAGAATGGTAAAATCACAGTACTTGTCAGGTTTAAGTCCAACACCCTGTATAAACACAATTCATAAGATGCATTATCAAATGTGTTATTTGTGCAAGTTGAACAAAGGTCATATGGTAAATTAAATTTCATTGAGAATTTTATTTGATTACACCAGTGAAACAAATTACATTAATTCCATATGCATCATTTCAAATAATAAGTGAGCAATTTCAAGAAATATATATTTAGAAATATAAATAAATCTACTGTATACCCCACATAGGAATATGCTCACATTGATAGAAATGTGGAGTTATTGCACTGGGTTCATGTGAATCTTGCAAAACGCATGAAACTTTACATCACTAAAGACTTTAGAGGGACCCTATACATTAATATTAACCATAACATGTTTTCTTCTGTACCGGGATTACAAAGGAATTATTTGTAAAAGAATTTGTAAGAACTTGAATGTTTCAACCATGAAGTTTGATTAAGAATTAATTTTTCTTTGCCTTGTACAAACACATTCAACTACATCCACAAAGATACAGGAACATTTAAAGTAAACTTACTTTATTACAGGCTTGCACAGCAATATCATCATTCCTCTCATAAGCATTTAAACTCTTACACTCAGCTTCCCACATGGCCAATTCTTGTTCATAGATATCAAAAACACATGGCACACAGCCACTTCCACAGCAGTCCTTGGGTAAGGGCCGTTCTGGTGGTTCTGGTAAATTTGAACTGTCCAGTTTCTCAGCACAAAGCATGTTTTTAAAATTTTGAATTCAAATTAATAAAATTTGCACCAGGTTGATGCTAATGGGCAAATTTAAATGCCTATAGAGTCTATACTGTTGTGGGATCAAAGTTGTCTGTTGCCAGTTATTTGTTAGTTTGAGATGGTTGAGGCTTAGAACTTGACAGGGGCAGCCCTAGCTGCATGCAGGTCCACCAAGAGAAACCTTCATTTGCTTGTCTTTTGTCATGGACAGTGGGAAAATTCAACACAAGTGACCTATCACTGTGTGAAACATCTTTGGGTTTATTAACTTCTGGGAAATGATCTTCTATTTCAGAAAACTTTCTCTTGCCCAAACCTGAAAATATTTAAGATTTATAAGATGGTAATAGATATACTACTTTCAAATAAAATAAAAAGCAGGACTCGAGATAAAACAAAGTGTTTTTGTGTGTGAGTAATGAACTGGTAAGTAGAATACTTAAATTACATACAATTATTATTTGTAGACCTATCGCCTTTTGACCCCTGATTGGGATAGATTTAAGTCTTAAAATGATTTATTAGGCCTCATACTAATTCGTTTAAAATATTTGTCGGTGTAGCTAGGGTTTGTCAAGCCCTGGAAAGTTCTTTAGTTGCCATCCTTCCTTCACAAAAGACAATACGCATCAAACACAGGCCCTTGGCATTTTCAAGATGGGAGAAATGGCTGATGTCTCTTACCTATGGTTCCTATCCCTATCTAACCTGGAAACAACATCTTCTCCACATAAATCTTCTCATTCAAAAGTTTTTGTTCTAAAGCACTAATTAATCGCAGAACAATTCAACAAGAATGATTTATCCACAGTTCCAGAACAGAAAAAAAACACTAACTTCACCCAGCTCATTTGAACTTTATATTAGAAACATAGGCATAAACTATTTAGCATGTTTTAAATTTTATTATAATTAGACATTTCTGAATAGGTAGTGATATAGGTCTACACTAGGCCCATATGGATTTAGAAAGCATTTTTCCAAAATTAATTCTTTGTAATTATTGGTCGCCATATTTGTACCAACACTAAGTAGTTATATCATTGAAAACTAAAATTGTGACTTCTAGTATACAGAACCTAAAATTCTGCCACCCAAGGCAAAAAAAAAGTGCCCTTACCAACCCTTATTAGCAATGTGCCTAGGGAAATTTGATTAATACAAAATCATGATAAACATCTATCTAATATATTTTAAAATATTTTTTAATATAAATAGTTAAATAGTATTAGACTTTATATATCTCTTTTTTGAGTGTCTCCTCAAATTAAATTAGTACAACTACAACTTTTGAGTATAGTGTACAGTGTATGCTTTAAGTCAGTGGCGTTCTTACAGTTGATGTCACCCGAAGAGTCTGTATTTTTTTTTAGTATTAGTATAAGGCATAGGCTTACGCCTAATATTAATAAATAAAATACAAAAATAATAGGCTCACTAATGAGTCAATATATAGTATAGTATATAGTATACAGTATAGTGTACGTATAAGCATAAGGCTATATAAATATAATATAGGCCTATAAGCCTATAGGCATAGGACTATCGACTATAGGCTATGGCTATAGTGCCTATAGGCCAATATTAATATATCAATATCATGGCCATGGAAAATGACGATTCATGACATTGCCCAATTTATATTACGTTTAAAAAAGGGGATTACGTATACAATTCAAAAGTAAAGTAAATAAATGATTTCGGGGTGTAAAATCAATAGATAAAAATACATTACTTATACTTATTGACTCCATGATTCATTGGTTCGAAACATGTATTATATGTGTAATCAAGAATTAACAGAGCTACTATTGCCTCCTGACTCCTGACACTGACAGAGAACGCAGTGTTGCCACTCCGAATTTGGTTTGGTCTTAAGATTTCCCCATAACATCATGTTATGATTTTTTTTTTAAATGGTTATTAAATGTTCAAGCCCATGTGGAATGACGCACAAAGAGGGGCTATGGGCACAGTGTGAAGATCCTAAAAAACACTTATTTGTTAAAAATATTGTTTTTTTTAGCAAACTTTCTTAGTAAATCACTTTTTTTTCTCAGTTTTTTCAAAATTATTCTCCAAATTCCAAAGGGTCATCACAAATTCTCCAGATCTGGGGATAATTCCCCATGGTCTGTTGACATGGGTTCGTAACAAGTTAATAAGTCATTTAGTCATTGTGAGGGAAATGCTAGCGTTGCCACTCACTTCAAATATTTTGGACGGGTGGTGGGAGGCGCACGGACGTTAAAATAAAAGAAGAAGAAGAAAAGACAAGAACAACCGGGCTCTAAAAAACTTTGCATATGCATTTAACAGTTTTTAGCTTACCCATGTTGTTCGCTGGATAATAATTAATTTTTGTTAAAATGATAAGAGACCAAATAATGAATTAGAGTTGATGTATTTATTTTTATAACATATGGGCTGAAAGGATCTCCGTAGATCATGTTTTGAATTGAATTGAATTGAATATTAATTTATATAGCGCTTCTTGACAATTTGTAGGTAGTTTTATACCCCTCCCCATGAATACAACTACAACTGTCAAACTTTGAATGATTCTCCTAATAAATGATGTCAAATATTTGTTACCGCACCGCCCCTTAAAATGTATAAATATTTTAATTTCTTTAAATGCAAAACTTTTTTAATTTAATGCTATCTGAAAATAGAATTTGTAAGCAAAAGAAAATCTTATACTTATACTGCTACATTTTAAATTTCTTTTTTCGGCTTAACACTTTTGTGTTTTAAAGAACTTTATAGGTCTAAATATAGTTAGCTTATACATTGTAGGATTTTTCTTGTACAAAAAATATATTTTTAAAAAATTATTTTATATATTTTTTTTTAATTTTTTTTTTTTAGGGGGGGTGCACCTGGACTTAAATAAACGTTAGGATGAACTACCTAAAATATGCCCGATATTTTTTAATACGTTAGGCCTATATATTAACACTGGGGGATGCAACATTTCGCTGCCCCTTTGCAAACTGCACGCCGCCATGTTCTTTGAATCAAATTACTTGTAGGAATAAATTTAATCCCCAACGCCGTTCAAGTTTTTATTTCTACGAGTGAGTCATGCCATTTGTCAATGATTCGATATGACGATATAAATTAATATATCTATTTCAGCTCAAATGTATTTCGTTTTTTTATTATTTAAAAAAAAATATATATATATATATATATTTTGGCAACCAGGGTAATTCCTTCTAGGTCTGCCCTTGTGGGTCTATTGACAATTGGCATTGCGGACCTCTCATCATTCTATCCGGCTATGACCAGACACAAAACGAGATATCACGAGCCACCAAAGCAGGTTTGGGTTTAATATAAAATAATTGAAACCATACATTTGTAAAAAGTAAGATTTTTTAAAAATATTTTTTTTTAAAAAGAATACTAACTGACTGAATGTAGTGCTTAGATACTCTGGGGGGTGGGGTGGTGTAGCGGCGCAACGTTTTGTGACGTTTATCACCATAGCAACCCACATTTGGGAGGAGCTTGCTTTGAGCCTCTAAACCAGGTGTGACATTGACATAAAAATATGAAAGGGAATTGCATATGGCTTTTCAGCAAATATGCCAGAGCGCTACAATTGTTTTTTAGCAGGGATCAAGCTGATACGGCCGAGATAAATCAACTTGCTCACTACATTCAGTGTGCAACACACTCGCTCAGTATGATTAATGTATGTTCTGATGATGGCTCTTAGCATGGCTGTTGTATGTTCTGTTGGTGGCATTCAGTATGATTGTTGTATGTACTGTTGGTGGCACTCAGTTTGGTTAGGTATGTACTGTTGGTGGCACTCAGTATGGTTATGTATGTACTGTTGATGCCTGCTTCGGAGAAAATTAATTTGTGGGGCTTGTGCAAGCAGTGCACAACATTTTTTCGGTATCAAAATCACACCATTAATCATCACACCACTAACCATCACATCATTAATCATCACACCACTAACCATCACATCATTAATCATCACACCACTAGTCATCACATCATTAATCACCCACACCAATAATCATCACATCATTAATCATCACATCACTTACCATCACACCATTAACCATCACGATATTAATCATCACACCACTAGTCATCACATCATTAATCATCACACCACTAACCATCACATCATTAATCATCACATCATTAATCATCACATCATTAATCATCACATCACTTACCATCACATCATTAATCATCACACCACTAACCATCACATCATTAATCATCACGCCATTAACCATCACATCATTAATCATCACACCACTAACCATCACATCATTAATCATCACACTATTAACCATCACATCATTAATCATCACATCACTAGTCATCACATCATTAATCACCCTATTAATAATCATCACATCACTAATAATAACATAAAAAATCATCATAGTATTAATTATCCTATCAATAATCATCACATCCACATCAATAATAATCACGGTACTAATAATTAATCATATCACTAATCAGTACATCACAAGTAATAAAATCACTTATCAACACAGCACTTATCATCACAGCACTAATCACCACGCCCACATCACTAAAATATTGCATGGAAATTGGAAATCACATGATGACATATATAATTAGTTGTAACATGAGATGGAACCACGGCGGTCGAAGCTGTGACAAGGAGATAGATTTATATTCGGAACGTCTGCATTAACAATATGTCTGATTTTTCTTTGTTGCTTTTTTTGTCCGGGGGGGGGGGGATACAAGATATCGGGATTAGTGGCATTGGGTAAAATAATAGATTGATTGGGAATAATTGAGTAAATTTTAGCCCAGAGGTCAGCAACTCCTTCCCCTGTGGTCAGCCACCCCCTGCCCCTGTGGTCAGCAACCCTCTGCCCCTGTGGTCAGCAACCCCCTGCCCCTGTGGTCAGCCACCCCCTGCCCCTGTGGTCAGCAACCCTCTGCCCCAGTGGTCAGCAACCCCCTGCCCCTGTGATCAGCAACCCCTGCCCCGGACTGGCTCGTTTAATTATTGAACTGTTTATTTTGACCATAACAAAAATGAACAGATAATTTAGATAAGATAATTGTTGCAATGCCCTTTCTCAATTAAAATGATCAGAGGTAGGGGCAACACTAGGGGGGGGGGGGGGCGCGGGCTGCACCGGGGGACACCAACCCTGGACCCGCCTCTGATCAGGGGTATACTACTACTACTGGTTTCATGGGATGATGCTTAGATCCGTCTTCTCTCCCTGTGGTTCCCTTAAATATTTTCTTAGCAGATATAATTAATTATTGGCATTTTACTTGTTAAAATAAAAGGTTGGAAAGCCCCGCCAGCCAGTAACCGTGGAGATATTCACGCAGACGCGAACGCCACTAGGTGACATGAGATTGATTGGAAGGGAAAGTTAACGACTGAGCTCGGTAGGTGAGAGCGACCTGGTCGTGAAATGGAGGTCAGTGGAGTCGGTGCGGGTGTTAAACACTTGCGATTTCTGACGTAATCGATCACAACCGGGAGAAAAAGGATATTTAAAGCTTTGTGGTTAGTTTGTGGAAGCGTACATCAATCACATACAAAATTCAGTCAGAGAGAGACAGACAGACAGAGACACAATTCACATAATTCAGTCAAAGTATATTGGGGTAAAGAGAGAAATTCGTCATTGAGAGTATTGGGGTAAAGAGATAATTAATTGAGTCAGAGAGTATTGAGGTAAAGAGAGAATTGAGACAGAGAGTATTGAGGTAAAGAGAGAATTGAGTCAGAGAGTTTTGGGGTAAAGAGATAATTGAGTCAGAGAGTTTTGATGTAAATAGATAATTGAGTCAGAGAGATTATAGAGGCAAGGAGATAATTGAATAAGAGAGTATTGAGAAAGATGGAGAATGGACTTTGAGAGAATTTTCAATATATACTACGTGTTGAAAATTCTCAATCATTTTCAATTTAAATCTGTCTCACAGATTGTCCAATGTCTATTCTCTCTATTTTGTTGCAATTTTATGTTCATTATATATCCCATCTGACTCTATATATATCCCTATCTGACTGCATCTTATCCCCAGATGTCTTTAAATCCGACTCCATCTTATCCAAAATGTCTATCTGACCCTTATCCCACTATATCTCCATAACCTGACTCTATCAGATCCCCAATATGTCCCTCTATCTGACTAAATCCTATTCCTAGATGTCTTCCTGTCTGACACCACCCTATGCCTGGATGTCTTCCTGTCTGACACCACCCTATGCCTGGATGTCTCCCTGTCTGACACCACCCTATGCCTGGATGTCTCCTCATCTGACTCCATCATATCCCAACCATTTAGACCATTCAGAAATGCCTAACATAAACAAAAACATACACATAATCCATTAGTGCCGGACCTTGACCTTGCCGTTGTTCCACCGTTCCTATCCGAACGCGCCACATTCTCAAAAGAGTCCCTTCGAGTATCCGTTTATCGCCACAACGATCACACCGTGATGTCCAAACCAAACCGTGGTTCATATCTCTCACCCCCGGACCCCCCCCCCCCCCCTCCCCCAGGGGGGGCCAAAGTTTTTTGCTTCGTGTGTGTTTGTTTTTTTTTTTTTTGTAAGGCGAAATTTTTNGCAATTGGCTCTTTAACTCAAGTGACTGTGCTATTGCAGCAATTGGCTCTTTAACTCAAGTGACTGTGCTATTGCAGCAATTGGCTCTTTAACTCAAGTGACTGTGCTATTGCAGCAATTGGCTCTTTAACTCAAGTGACTGTGCTATTGCAGCAATTGGCTCTTTAACTCAAGTGACTGTGCTATTGCAGCAATTGGCTCTTTAACTCAAGTGACTGTGCTATTGCAGCAATTGGCTCTTTAACTCAAGTGACTGTGCTATTGCAGCAATTGGCTCTTTAACTCAAGTGACTGTGCTATTGCAGCAATTGGCTCTTTAACTCAA